ACATCTTTTTCATATTTTGCAACAAAGATGTAAATATCCCCAGAAACAATACCATTAACAAATATTTTTTAAAAAAATCTTACTCATAGCTTATCCAGTTGATAATGCTCAATTTTCATCATCTTAAACCCTTTTTTCCTGACATAATGTTTAACAGCTACTTCTGTTTGGGAAAATCCTTAGGAAAAATAGATGGATTCAAAAAATTCTGACATGTATTTAAAGGGTCTAATAATCCAGTTTGTTGCTATTTGAGTAGACATAATTCCTTGAACTTTGCCACTGCCCAATCCCTATGGATTTTCATGGCACCTGCTTCTGGTTTCACCCAAGACTCATTCCAATCAACAGAGACTACTTGGCAATAGTCATGAAGTGCTTTTAAAAAATAACAGTTAAAAAAAAGTCAGGAGTCCGTTCTGACCTCCTAACTAACCACAAGGTAAAAGTGGCATTAAATGCCTTGCACCCAAGTTGTAAAAATCCCTGGCCACATTTACTGAAGCCAGACACATAGAAAAAGGAATGCACTTTGGTTCATACCAAATGCCCTGGGATTAATTCTCACTATAAAATTAAACAGTTTGAGGTAATTTTCCCTTTATATAAATACAGTTGACTCTGTCTAGTGCTGTTATAACAGCCAACACAATATTGTTCTTAAAAAAAATCAATCAGATCTTATGATTTCAGCTAAGTAATATGTAACACCCTATTTAACCCCTGAATAAAAATGAAAATCTTTGCAACAGAGAAGTCTGTTCTCTAGTAAGTAGCATGATCGCCTTATGATATACATTAAGGCCTTGAAAATAGCAGGCAAAATCAACCAGAAACCTTTCCAATTTCTGTCCAGTTCATAAGCTGGATATGTAGAAAACCCAAGTAGTCTTCTAAAGCAATCATTAATTTATAATGGTGTTTCCAGAAGAGGTTTCTGGTGAATTATGATCACAGAGGCATATTAAAAAGAACTGTAGTACTTCAAAAATAGATTTCAATCGTACTACATAATACAGTATTCAGAGGGTTAAAGAGACAAAGTTGCATGCTCCATCACATGGTATTGTTTATAACAAAAGGCACATTGTTAATATCAAGGGCACAACTTTATCCTTCATGGTTCTTTTGCATATCTATTGCCCCCTGATTATTCCAACACATTGACAATGCAAATTATCCAACCCTCTCATGGTGCAAGAACTGAGTAAAATAAGACTGCAGCCAAAGATATGACATATTTGTGTTATTACTAAATCTTCAAAGATACTCTGCATTCTCAGACAATTGTAACATTTTATACTAAACAAAATTTTCAATCAATGCACCCAAACTAATTAAACCCCTTAGAAATAAAATCATGTCAAAGCAAGAGGCAACTTTTTCTTCTTCGTACTTCATTTCCTTTTCTCAGTTAAAAATAATGGTAGAGAAGAAACATGTAAGTCATTGAAAATGGCAGCCTCTAGTTGGCTAACTTTTTTTTAAAAAAAACCAACATGTGTTTTATTTTTAAAGCATATAGGAAGTTGTATTCTGATAAAAGCTTTTTAAAATAATTCTGCACATGGTATTGTGGCCAAAAAGTTTCCGGTAGAACAGTGAACATGGTCAATCATAAATGCAAATTGGCATTCTAAATCTCATGTATTTATAAGAGATTAAATTGGTGGATTCAACTCATGAGTCATTCATGAAAATTATGAACAATTTTTGTGAAATTTGTTAACATCTTCAGGTAAAAATGTAATAGACGCAACCATTTATTTAGCGCAATGATTGGGATTTTTTTTTATTATTGGGAGAAATATAGAAGTTTACCATCTTACACAGAAATATATTCCTGTGCTGATGAAACCCTCATCGGAGTAGAAATACCTTCATTAATTTCAGGACGCAGTTCTCTATGTATAACATTTTCATCTGGGAACTACCTTAGCTTTTAAGTAAATGGGAAAGTACAAATATAAGAACTCAATCTCAGCTTTTATGGGTCAGTTGAGACTACTATTAGAGCCACAGATTGCAATGAATTCTATGACAGATCATGAATGATCCTATTTTACTTTTACTAATATACACATTGCATAGCCACACACTATTGAAGCTGCATTTACATAAAAGGGAAATCAAATGTTAGGTGATTATTGAAGTTGTTAAAGATGAGTAAATAGAGTTTTCTAGCCAAAATTACTAATAGTGAGAAAAGGGCCTCTTTAGTTTCTCCTTCCCCCAATAGGATATATTTTTGGCAAACAGGTTTTTGTTTATTTCCTGAGAATTCTTCATTTTTCATTTATGTCAACTTTCAAAACATAAAAGCTCAGTAAAGCATGTTGCTTCTGTTTCTTTGTTTCGAATGAAAAATCTGCATAAAAAGAAAATAAATTGACCGGAAACTTTTTGACTTTCTGGGGACCATGTTTTAAGTTTTCAGCACTCTAATGAAAGTTGTCATTATACTAGCATCGACAGTCCTTTAAGCAGCCCTGTTCAAATACCGGTATTATCAATCTATATGCAACATCAATTTTAGCAACATTTGTTTCCTTTGAAAAACTATGTTGAAAAGGAAGTTGACATATTTTCTGAATCATATTCTATTCGTCCCAATATGGAAATCTCAATCTGGTAGTCATTACCCCGGCTGAATTGTTGAGAAAAAGGTTACATTGGTTAAAGCCTGGGGAAGGAGAGTAGGAGTAAGAGTACGAGTAGGAGTAAGGAGAGAGGGAAGAGTTGCCACCACTAGAATAGACCACTCACAAATTCTGCAGAGTTGCTATGCTTCAAGTGGAAAGACCAGCTTTTTTGTGATTAATCATATTCCACTGAGCCAGTAATAAATCATCCTAGCTTTTGGACAGCAGAAATGGTGAGATTTCACATTCTGAAGACCATTGATGTACTCCCTCTGCAAACTATCAGTGACAAATCACCCTCCTTCTCATCTCCCATTCCTTTTATTTATTTATTCAACGCTAACACTGGATGTTTTCCTGTTTTTATTTTTTTAATTAGTAAATAGGTAATGACTAAAAAAAATTAGAAGGCAGGGTAAGTGAGAAGGCTGTGGTTTCTTTTAGTCATTCATACCTCTCTTCATCCATCTCACTTCTTTCTTAATGGTTTGACTTTTGAAACAGAGCATCCACGAGTATAAAGGACTCTAAATCTACTTCAGCCCATCAAAGGACAATTTCAGCTTTATCTGCCACTTGTAAAATTCATACTCCATAAGACTCCTGGATTATTGGGCAAGATATTGGGATAAGATTCCCATTCCCCTTATAATTTTCTATTGAGATGATTCTAATTGAAAGTCTCCAATGCTCCACTATGACAAAGTAGAAGCCTGTGAACAGTTCGCTGGGCAGCCTGAGAAAGTCCTTTTACTCAGGATATGTATGTAGTTGTGCAGATGAAGATGTGTATCAGTGGCTATATGAAAAGGATGTATTCAACAATAATTTATTTCTATATTTTAGAAATTGGGTATTTTATACTGAATTAAATAAATTTAATAATAACACAGAGGGAGTAGTTCTAGTTCATATAAGTAGTTTTATACTACATTCTAGTATATTCATTTATTTTTCTTGTCTGAAACATTTTTTGGAATGTGGCCTTTGATGTTCTACTCATAACTCAAGGCACCCTACACATGAAAGCCTGTATCTTGCTTTATATAAAATCTAATATTAATAGAATATAAAGAACATCTTGGCATTGCAAATTGTATTTTGATTTTCTGTCCATATAGACTTTTTAAATAGAGTAAATATATAACTCAGATATTACTTTCATTTCATTTTTAAGGTTCTTTTACTTCTTCATTTGCTCTAGAAATGTAAAGACATAAAAACTTGTTTTACCATTCAGCAGTTAGAAACGTTGAAAAGACTGAAGGAATAACTTTAAGAAAACTGAGGCATTTTCATTAATAGAATGTCTCATGTATCATCTTCATGAGGCAATTAATAAATTCAGATGTTGATGACATAGCTACAGAACACAATTTTACAGGAAACAATGAGATGGAATGGGTGTTTCCAGTAACATAACACTTGAAATGTTGAAGTAATAATGATACTATATACATGGAGATTTAAACACCACTATATACATTGGAAGGAAGTTGTCCCATTTTCCCAGAGTATGGAATTTTGCATATATGCCTGGAGGGGAAAGCTTTGCTCCTGATATTCCAAAAATGAAGACAACAGAATAATTTCAATTGCAAGTGATAGGAAGAAAGTAAGAAAGAACAAAATATGAATGTCATGCTTTTGCATTTTTAAAGTCCAGCACCAACTGCTATATGGAAATCTTTTTAAATTTTTGACCAGCATTCTCTCCATCTTTTCCTCACGTTCCATTTGAAGTAAGTTTGTGGGGGAAATGGTTTTTGTTCTCACAGTGAAAATTTATGAATTCTGGGAACACACAACCACAGAATGCATTAATTGGACTATATTAGTTGTAAGCCAAGCCCAGGATTATTATTGTATAATAATCTGGTGAATAATATAATGAACACAGGACAAAACATGGTATGTTAGATCAGTCTTGGCAGGAAATAATCCAGTTGGTCTACATTGTTTCTGAAGCAAAATCAATGTTGCCTCTCCATCCCTTCATATCTGAACTTTAGTTTTAAGTATGGAATAGTATAAAATTAAACATAGATATTGGTCAGCACAAGATTTTAGTTTACAGTGACTAATCAACGTTGTCCTTTATTTGATGCAGCTCAGTATTCATAGCCTTAAGAAACTTTCATTAAATGAACTGCTTCATTTAATTTTGAGGCTTGCAATTATATAGTGGGAGGGGAAGGGAAGCTTTTGTCAAAACAGCTTTGTTTCTTGTATCAGTAACTCCAAAATATGGGAAAAAAACAGAAGAGCAGCAATACTACTTGGCTATCAAGCTGGTTAGCTTGGCAGTTGGCTTGGAGTCACATTCAAAACCTGTCTAACTTTATTTCCCCAGTACAATCTACTTCTCAGCATTGTAGGAGGTAAAGCTCAAGATGTTTTGCTTTTCCTTTTCCTATTGTTGACTTTTTTTTTTAATGGAAAGTTTGGAGAACATTGAAGTTGTTCCTATGATATATTTTCAGTGTTGAAATGCGTGAAATTAAGACAAGGTTTTACGCATTCATATCATATTAATCCGTACCTGTAAGTTGATAGTAATTTTGGATTGATAGTATTTTTGGATAAAAGATAGATCTCTTATGTCCAGGCTAAGCCCTCGGGATGCCCTGATCTACAACTCCTACAGTTCTTAGCCTGCATGACCACTGACACCTCCAAAGGGAATAGCTTGAGAAGCACAAGGCTGCTGCAGACATATATATCATTCCAACCCAAGGCAGACTCCTACAGCTACAGCAAGAGCATCATCAACATGCCCAGACACCTTCTTTGGTGCCCAGAAGTTCTGTGTCTCCCCTAATTATATTTTCTAAAATGTGTGCATGTATGTAGGGGTGTTTGCATATATACACACAAAACACACATATATGTGTGTGTTGAATGAAACTAGCATGCTGCAACGTGTGATTTTTTTAGATTTATCAATTTACAAGAATGTCAGTTTTTATAGCCCCATGGATTTATTTATTTTTCTTTTGGTAAAACAAAATTGTACAGGGAATTGAAATACTGTGCTTGGCTTGTGATCAGGCCATCCATGCAGGGGAAGGAGAAGGCAAGGCAAAGTTTTTGAGGGACTGGGGGATAGATAAGCATATTTCCCTAAGTTTGACTTTTTATATACATTGATGCCTTGTGGCTACCAAGAATCACATTGGCTGCAATCTGCTGACACAATTTATTCTGAAACATCCAAATGTTCCAACTGGCAGTTCTTAGAATATGTTACTGTTTTCTTCAGAACTTATTAGCTCTTCCCAATAAGCCTTCTTGAAAACAGAATTGCAAGAAATATCTTCCTATTCTTATTTGTCCCCTCCCATGTGGCTGTTCTCTTTTATCTATGGTGCCAACTGTGACTCAACCAGTCTGCCACAATTTCTGTGTTTCCTATTTAGGAGTAAGTCTAACTTAATTCAGGGGAACAACTTGAGTTGCAGTCTAAAGTATTTAAGCTCTTGACCTCTATTTTTTTTTATTTTATCAGATTTTTATTATTTTTACAAATTCCATTAAGGAGTAGAAATTACTTCCAAATGAACAGATTCAGGACTGTTTTCTGAGGTTCATAAATATGCTGGATAGCACAATTTTATATATTTTATAAATGTTTAGTTTTACATTGGCCAAATAGTGGAATTTCATTTTTAATGTAAATATTGCATATTCACAAACTTTACATCAATTTCAATGTTTTTCTTCCTGGATATTTGACAAAGAATTGTTAAAGGAGTGTTATGAGCATGAAGTAAGCCCTTTGTGGATGTTCTATTAGAATATTTTAACAATTATTATGTGGCATTCTGTAAATAATCCATACTACAGACAGAACCACAAACAGTCATGCAAAACCTCACTTATAGCCCTGAATATTTTCTAGATCATTGCATGAAAATATGAAGAAATGCTTATAGGAATGGAACCTAGCTGCTATAACAAAAGCAATGATAAGAAAGTATTAAAATTCACTCCTAAGAAAAACCATGATAAGGAAAAGGAATTTACTCCTTTCCTCACCTAGCTAAAAATATCAAGCTAAGATAGTAACCAGTGGCCTGCCACTGACACACCGTTGTGCTATACTAATTCCACAATAAGGCTAATTGTTGTTTACAAGAGAAACATTTCATTTTAAAAAGTGTAAAAACTTAAACCATTGTCCCCATGTTGTTTTTTATAAAATCAAAACAGTGCTTAACACATTTAAAGTAATCAATGAAAAAATACAAATGTTTAAAGGTATTGATCAAATAAAAATAGAAATTTGAGCTTCTTTTTCATGTGAATAAGGCTCAGCAACATAATTGCGCACTCTCTCTCTCTCTCTTTCTTTCTCTTAATCAGCATTAGATTATTCAAACCTCAGCTCACAAGCTTTGGCAACACTGTTCTCTGCTGAATATTCCCATTGGCGTCCGTCATCTGTGCCAGATTAGTCCTCAGTTTTGAAGCTGAGTTTGAAGTTGGAGGTAACTTGGAAATGGATGTGATAGCACCAGTGCTTTCCGTTATTCTTTTTGCTGAAGTCTTCTCCCCAGTTGGCGGCTTTGGCAAACGTCTCCTGAGCCATGGATGCCGTAAAGCCTGACTGGGTGTCATACGCAGCATTGGATCCCACTCTAAACACTGTTTCAAAAAGTCAAGGAAGAGCGGATCATCACATCCTTTCAATGCGCTCCCCCATTCTCGGCTCTCTGGGGGGGCACGCAATTTGCCCCGCCTGGAACGGCTACCGTTAAGCACAACAGAACCATCAGACAAGGTAGTAATGGAACAATATCGAGGGTAACCCTTGGAGCTCACAAAATTTTTTGCTCTTTTTGATGAATCCAGTAGCTTCTGGGAAGGCATGCCCAAGAGTTCTATCATACAAGCCAGCTGATCCCCTTCATCTTCTCCTGGTAAGAGAGGATAGCCTGTTAAGAGTTCAGCAAGAATGCAGCCCAGGCTCCACATGTCTATTGGCATCCCATATCGAGCACCAAGGATGACTTCAGGAGCACGGTAAAAACGTGATTGGATATATGTATAGACGCGCTGGTGCTCATAACAGCTAGAACCAAAATCAATCACTTTAATGCCACTCCTACCCTGTTGTTTTAACAGAATGTTTTCTGGTTTAAGGTCACAGTGAATTATTCTGTTTTTGTGCAAAGCATCCAAGCACTGCAAAATGGAGTGGGCAAATTTACGAACCAAAGGCAGGCTAAAGCCCTGAAATTTATTTTTCTTAATGAGCTCATAAAGGTTCATGCTCAGCAACTCAAATGTCATACATATATGGTTGCGGAATGTGAAGTTCTCCAGCATGTGTATAACATTCATGTTATTATCTTTGTCCTGTTTTTTAAGGTGCTCCAGAATTTTAATCTCTTCTGCAGCTTGGCGGTGAAAACGCTTCTCATTTCTCACCATCTTCAGAGCAACATGTTGATGCATCTTGTGATCATATGCCTTTACCACTTGTCCAAAACTTCCTTTTCCTATAACTTTAAGAACTTCATATCTGTAAGATATATGATCATGGGGTATTTGCACATAAGATCCCTGGTCATCATCATATCCACAATTGTCTGGACCACTAATGACACCTTGCCTTTTCTTTGCATTTGGACCCACAAAATATATTTCAGGGTAGCTGAAGATCTCATGATGCTCAAAGGCTGTTAGCTTTTGCATATATTGCTTCATTGCTTGCTCAGGAGTCATGGGAGTAGCTTTTATCTTTCCTGGCCCTTCGGTAGATTTCAAGTTGTAGCTCCCTTGACGCCTATGACAGCTCTCAAGTTGCCTATCTTGTACCATTGGCAGTCCTGATTTTGCTAGTGTTGCAAGCCCATTTGGTTGTGTGGATAGAACTGTCCTTTTGTTACTATTATCTTCAAAGAGCTGTTGGATCTGCCCATGACTGGTAACATGTAGATGCTCATTCATGGTGTGCTTATTTCCACCAACCTAAAATACAAAGCATGATTTTCTTATTAAAAAACTGCAGGCTGGTAATGGTTTCCAAAATTCTATGAAAAATCAAATTAAATTAATTCAGGACTTATATGTCTTGCATGTCCTTCTCTTTCCTAAACTGTACATTGAGACCACTAATGATCCAGATTACCAGTGGAATTCTTCTGCTGGAGCACAAGTGTCAAACTCACGGCATCATGTTGCCATCATGTAACATTTTGTGACATTTTTCTCCTTCGCGGAGCTGGGATGGACATGGCCTGCATGTGATGCATCTGGCCTGCAGGCCATTAGTTTGACACCTCTGTGCTAGAGGAAGACATCCCTGTGTGACCACTCAAAAGCTTCTTTAGGATCACAGAACACTCCAAAATAGTAATAGATACTACTTAGGGAGGAATTGTCTGCTGTACTGAAATTTTCATGGGAACTTCAAATAGTTCCCAATCTTTTTCATATTAATAAATTATAAATCTAGATCCAATCCATTATATCTTATGCACTGGCTTGACCTCCCAGGGTCCTTTCCTCATACTTGGCTATATAATATCACATTATTAGTAACTCATTGAAATCATTTATTATTTATTATTTCATTTATTATTTCAAATTAACTCTCATAAGTTCTGCAAAACTACTAAAGAAATATATAATTTTAATAATTAAAAGTGAACAATTTTCTTTTTGAAAGAAAATCACTGCACACATTTTAGTCCAGAAGTTTAAAATCAGGTTAGCTTACATCAAAATAACAGCACTCCAGCACACTCCTCCACTAAGATGGCTGCTGAAAGGTAAGGGAATTTTTCTCTCTTGCTGACAATCTCTTGATTTTGGAGCAGTTTTTGACAGCATTGTTTCCTGGATATGAATGGGAAGACTTAAGAATGACCCAAGACAATTTTAGGATGGCCATGGACCAGGAAGAAAAATCATGAAGACTGTAGTCCCCTATGGATGTGGCCACAAAGTCACCAATCACTTATTTATTTATTTCCTCTTGGCAGATTGTTCTCATAAGCAAACCTGGGTTAAATACACTTATTGAAGTTTTTGTTTGTTATGCTTTTTAATCTCTAAAAGTCAACTGGTTGCATGCAGATTTATTTTAACCCCCTGCTGGATTTTATTTGGAGGGGTTTTTTTTGTCTCATGACTTATAAGGAAATCTACTGGGTGTTTCTAGGTACTGAAGGTGCTTGGGCTTGATTTACATTTATATTGGACTTTCACTACAGGGATCTTGCATTTCCTTAACTTGTAAAAGGGTTTGAGATTATTTTTTAAGTCTTGGCTCAAAATATCAAAAAATATCCTCCCTGTTTTTCTATTTATATTTTCACTCTGAGGAATATTACTTCAACTTTCTATGCTCTCTGTCTCTGATGACTCCTTTCTCTGCTAACTTCCATGAGAGCAACAACATATCAGATTACAGACAAGGAAAACTGGCTGGCATTTGAAAAAAGACTGGTAACATACAAATCCAAATGGAAAGTTTGACAATATAATAATGGTTGCAAAAAAAATACCCAGTTGCAAGTAACTGTAGATGAAGCAGATTCACAAAAGAAATTTTATTTGGAAGTAGATTCAACGAAGACTAAAAGAAATATGTCTTTTACAGGCTTAGAACTGAGTGGATTGCACACAACTTCCTGTAGTTCAGGCCTGCAATCTTTTACAACAGCAGAAAACTGACTGGGTGGATAAGTGATAAAGATTGAAAGAGATTGGGGAATGGATTTATCATATTAACCTGGAAAACAATTTTATCTGGACTCCTTTGGGAAGACAGATCAATTTTGGAGAACAGAATTTATTTTTTTAACCAAACAACAATAAATAAGAGAGGGCATTAAGAAGAAAAATAGATATTTGATCTAGGACAAATTAGTGTTAATTGTTGGATTGATTTGGGATAGATAAGAACCTGTGGTGAATTTTCTACAAGTTGAATACAGTAAGTTTGTTAACAGAGGGTTTTGATATTTTACTCTTACCTTTTTTGTTGCTTTACCTGTTAACTATTTTTTCATAGGGTGATGACAAGCTAATAATTTGCAAACAAGTTTAAAATTTGGGGGACCTGTTTAGCAAGTGGTGGGAAATTCATATTTTTGCAATATACTATCAGTATTCAACTAGGGAGGATAATACCAGTATGTGTTTTTGATATTTTTTTTTACAATGCATCTTTTTTGTTTAATGTCTTATCTGTTTTGTTTTTTATTTTTATTTTTTTCTCTTTTGGAGTTGTATATTTGGTAATAGAATAAAAATTACATGGATAAAAGTATTCTAATTCCGTAACCTTCATTTTTAAAAATAACATTTACTTCTTTATATCCATTTTTGTCAATTCAATATTTCTTGCCATTTCTGAATTATTAATCTGATTTTCCTCAATTTAACTCTTCCAAATGGAACTGAAAATTTATTTTGTCAAGCTGTGTGAGAATTTGCAGAATAGTTCTGAAGAGGGACTAAAATCCTAATCTATAAAAATTAGATGGCCTATATATGGTTTTTTAAAAATCAAGGTGGTACTGTTCCATTGATATTTTATACATACATACATATATACATACATACATACATACATTTTTTCTCACACACACACACACATACACACTAAACAACCTGCATAATACCATAATATATACACCACACAGCCAAGAAGCCTATGAAAGGAACATGTGAAAAACAGCATCCAATAAATATTAGTTTGTAAATGTTTCAAATAACTCCCTATTTTTTCTCACTAAGGTTTTTTAAAAGCAGCACAACACCTGAAATCTTAGAAAGTAAAAGACAGTGTTATGCTGACACCATTTCATAAGGGCAAAATGGGGACTAGCTTCCAATGTGCCCAGACTGCCATATGAAACATAGAATCATATATTATGTGATGAATATATCACCATCCCCATGAACCTTGGCTGATAACTAATATAGATATAACTTACACAGCTGAGTTTATAAATTACCTGTAATCTCCTGGTTTACTTTTTCAGGACTCTCTTCTATGCCAAACTGTACCTCTATTATTACAAACATTAACTACCAACTGCTGTTTTTGAAACTTCCGTTATGTATATTTCACTTGCTAGCATGAACCTAAGTTCTACTAGAAGCTGCCGGAGGAGAGCTCTCATTCATAGGCAAAGTTCAATGCCACTATATATGGTGTTTGAAATAATCAGTGATTGGCAGTAGTGAAAAATGTATTATATTAGTCTGCTACCCATCAGCAAGCAGATTAATTTCAATGAAGTAAACTTCCCTAAAGGTATATTTTATTATGATTTCCAATACTGATACAAAGTTAGGATGTCTAGAATAATTTCTGTATTTACCAAGGATTAACAATTCTCAATTAGAAAGATTTAAAAAGTATCCTCATTCAAATGTTGTCAACATTTACTACTGCAATTGTAAAAATGGCTAGAGGAGAATTCTCTCTCTAAGCCAAAGACTGAGAAAACAATATGCTTTCATTCCATTCCTCACCCAAAACTTTCAGGACAGAAAACTTTGTGGTGCTGTACCAGTATCTTGTCTCTATTTAATAAAAATGCATAAACAGTCTAGGAAAACAATGTTTTACAATCTCAGGTATAAAAGCGATCTTATACATAGCAGCACCTCATTTTCAATATGCTCCTGATTAAATTTTCACAGTTGCATGTGACCACAAGGATTGTGTAGCATAGCAACTACTTGCACTATTGAAATATTACAGATTAGTGAGTTTATGTTATGGCCTGCTAGGAGACTAATTCATTCATTGTTGAATCCCTATTTATCATGCCAGACCGAGAAAGAGCTGGATCCTAGCAAATACACAACAATCATTGCAATTATTTTTAAATTAACCAGTACATAATTCTTCTCAGTTAAATACTCTTCAAGTATATTCTCGAAATGATGGTCATCATTCTGAGAGCATTGGCTATAAAACAGTTTACATGCTAAATGATAGAATGGCTAAATAATCTTCGTACTCAGAAAAGCCCAGTAGTATAATTAAAGTTGGCCCATGCAATGTGCTTATATATAATGTATTTGAATTGATTAATTCTTAGTAAGTTCACAATATTCTTCTTTTATTATACAACCTAGATCTGTTAACAAAATCTATTGATTTCATTGCCACTCCAATGACATTAGCTGTTATTAAGATCATAAAATTACTGTCCACTTCAATCAGACACTGTCTGCTAACATATTGCCAGCTCAAAAATAGGGCTCCTGAGTATCGCTTAGGTACATACATAGATATAGTAATGTAATATGATTTTCCTTTTTCTCTCATTTACACATATAATTTCTTTCTTTGCAAACAGTGTTGCAAAATATTACACTTTAAAGGGAAGAACAGAACAATAATTTATCTTTCCCAATTTATTCTTGCCATCTTCTGCCCTAATGTACTCTTAAACCACAGCCTGGATCACATACTTGTCCCATGGTGATAGTTTTTTTTTTTTTTGTAGAGTAAGAAATACAATGGGATATAAATTATGTAGCCAAGAGAAAGTCTGGAAAACTAAACAACTTCTCAAGTAAAACTTGTCGATGTTTAGCAGGAATGAAAATGAGAAATCTGTAGCTTTCCTGGGGTTGTTGAACATCAGGAGTAATCATTCTGGCTGGGGATGAGTATCACCATCTGGAAGGGCATATTTTCCACATTCTTAACACACCGAATACTTGTTAGAGAGATATCTACCTCTTTAATCAAAGAGATGCCTCAATAAATATAGAGCACGAAGAATAAGCAGGGGCACTCTGCTGATTTGTCTGATTAATATGCATTAATGCACAGATCTGAGCTTATATATGTAAGCTGTCATAGGAAGCCTGCTGAAACTATTCCTTTGTACAAAAGGTGCTGAAACTGAACTGGTCAGACTGTAAAATGCAGCAACAGCTCACTGTGTTATGATGCTTCTATATCCTTCCCAATCTTCAGAGCAAAACTAACT